TCTGTACAAAGAAAGAGAACCCATCACTGGCCTAATGGGATAGGGTGATTTTTATACCATCTCTCATGGCTGGAATAGGAACCCGAATTCTAATGGAAGCTTATTTCCCTTAGCTCCTCTTGTCTGTGTGTTAGGGAGAAGTATCCCCAGTGGTCCAGGCCAGGTTTTAAAGTCCTTACCTTGGGTAAATTCTCTCAGTTTTAATCTCTTATAATTTTTTTCTTACCTTTAATAGTATAATTGACCTAACTTTAAATGCAGTTTTATAGTCAGCAAAATGGAATTCATTGCAACATACAAAATCTCTATCTGTTTAAAATTGCTGTCTGTTTAAACTGTATTAAGCCAAAGCAGTAAAGATTTACAATTATGAATCCTTTGGAAGATAATACTCCAAACCTCCATGCTGTGGTATTGATATTTAGGACTTCATTCAAGCCAGGCTTTCTTACATATAATGATTGTGTGACTTCATTATACATTTGTCAACTTTGGACTAATTATTTTTATACAGCTAGGGCAGGGCAGTGCATCTTGTGATCGTCTCTCTTGCTAATAGGATCCTGTCTGCTTCAGCAGGCAGTAATTGAAGGCTTCATGTACAGGGTCGGGGGGGAAAAAGTTTTAGCCTGAGTGGGCCATTGTCACAGCTTCTGATGATCAGCAGAACAGAAAGCACAAGGAAATTGAACTCAGAATAGAAAAATCAGAAAGCAGGAAGACTATCCAAGAGAAGAAAAAGCATGTCGTCAAGCTGTTGTTAGGTGCGGGAGCCTGCTTCTGCATAAGGAGCAGTTGTGGGTGCTCTGAGGCGGAGGCAGCTCTGAGAGACAGTGTTTGTTCGTTCATTCGTGTTGTGCTGTTGCATTTACTCCTTAGAACATTGAGCTGTGGCGCATCCTGTCTTTGAGGGGGGAGAAAAAGAACATTTATGATCCATAGCCAGTTTCTCGTAAATTGAAATGAATTGCAGACAATATATTTATTCAGAGTTTATTGTTTTATGACCAGTTTCATCATCCCGACAATAGTTAAAAAATAACTTTTTAAAAGAGTGAAACATTATTTTTTCCTATTTAGGTCACAGCCTGAGCTTATTTGGCCTTTTTCTTGAATCTTAAGGATTCTACAAAGACTGAATGTCAATTGCCAGAGATAACAGACAAGACATTTAGTAAGATGTCATACAGATACATCCCAACAGTTTTACCTCCTCATCGGGTGACTATAAACAATGAGTTCTTAATATGAGGATGGAATGAAAAACATCTAGGTGCTGTCCTTTTAATAACACAAGCTGTGGTGCACAGACAGTGCCTCATTTGTGGTGACCCTGCTTTTCCAGGTTTGATTGGTCTCCTGGTATTCCCTTTCAGTTACAGCTCTATTCAAAAAGATTTTGTATTTTTCATTACTGGTGACTTTGGAAGGAATAGATAGACTATATTTTAATTCTTTAATCTGTAAGAGCAAGGATTAAAAATATGACAGAATTCAGTCAGGCTGCCTTGACTCACAGAATACACAAAGGAGGCACATGATTCTGGAAGGAGGAAATCTCTCTTAAGGTTATACACACACTAGGTAAATGGGAGAGGTCTTCTGTTGACTAGTAAAAACAGACATTGTGTTTTTGCATCTATTGAGAGACTGTATTTGATCTGGATTCAGAGTGCTTTGGTTTGAACCCCTGCTCTGCCATGTACTGGCCCTGTGTCCCAGGTAAGTGAATCCAGTTCTGTGGGCCTTGGCCCCCCCTCTTCTCTGTCAGTCCCCTGCCTTAGTTGGGTCAGATGAATTTGTGTGAGTACTTCACAGCCACCTCTAGTCACATGGTATAAACGATAGCTACTTTACAGTGACCATAACTTTACCTGCCTCCTGAAAAAAATGTCACAATAGGACCTTGTTTGAGAACAAGTACTGAAGTCACCCATCAAATTTAACATGTATTTACAACCAAGGTTTCTAGCTATTGTTTATTAACTAATATTCCTACCATAACTGTAACTTAAGTATGTGCTAAAACATGGCCTGTTCAGAATGTGAAGGGTTAGCAACTTTGGGGAGTGGTTTTGCCTCCATGGACCCAAAGAAGCCAGTTGTAATCATGCCGTGTTCCAATTAAATACATTCTTTTTGAACTGAAATGGGCATGTCAGAGCATCTGATCTTCCGGTTCCCACTTTAGAGCATCATTTTCAGCCTGTGTACTGCTTGAACACAGCCTCCCGCTTAAGAGACAGCAGCTCCCGGCTTGGTTGCTAGGATGGTTTGCACTCCACCACTGCAGGCTAAGCAAGCGTCTCTGCTTCATGGTCCTGTTCTTTCAGGCACTGAGAATTTTGTAACAGGATCTGAGATAACATGCCCAAGATACTAACTTTAATCTCTGTAAATATACTGAAATTTGTCTTTGCCTAGATGGTGTTATTGTGACATTAACTCTTTACATTTTTAATGGAAGAGAAATAAAATGTACCTTGGGGCTATACAGCCCTGAAATTCAAATGGTGCTTTGTGTTCCTATTCAGATGTAATCTCTTCCTCTGAGGTCCCCAGGCACAAATGTTAAGTAAATAAAGGGACTAAGAAGACTATTGTTTACATAATTATAACCTTGTCAGAAATAGAGACCTCTGTTGAAATATTTGTTGAATGAATTACAAGTGTGGTGACCAAATCTATGGGGAAAGTTGAGTAGATGAATTGGAATATGGAGCCATTGTGTTCTTGTGACTAGCTTAGCAAACTATAGAAATATCTTTCTCCCATGATGCTATATATAGCCTTAAAAATTTAGACAACGGGCTGGAGAAATGGGTCAGTGGTTAAGCATACTCACTAATTTTTCAGAGGTCCTGAGTTCAATTCCTAGCAACCTCATTGGGTGACTCACAACAGGCTATAACTTCATTTTCAGGGGATCCCAACCCTCTTCTAGATATGATAGGCCTACACACACACACACACACACACACACACACACAAATAAAGACCCACAGAGACACATATGCATAAGATAATTTCTTTTAAATTTAGACAAAAGAAATGCATGAATCTGTAAAGATACATAAGAGGTGAGGGAGGGGTTCATAGTCACAAAGGGAAGAGTACCCAGCGTGCCTAGCCTCTGTGCATTTGTACAAAAAGAAGACAGATACTGTGTGAAGCTTATAAAAACAAACAAACAAAAAAAAAAAAAAAAAAAAAAAAACCAAAAACCTCCTTAGAAACATGGCTGTGGTATACACTCCTGAACTGGTTGAACTGGTTCACTAATGTCACTTCTGTGTGGGAACTGCCTCTCCAATTCCTGCAAGTTCCCAGCATGTTTAAAGATATGTATAAAGAATTAGAAAGGTTGCTGGCATGCTTTGCCAGAGCACCATTAGCTATCGTTTTACTGTGTGTTGTCAAAGTGCTGTTCTTATTTTTAACCAAGTAAGATGAGTATATCTGTTTTTCTTTCCTTGAATTATTCTAATTGTTGAAGAACAACTAATTTTCATCATTCTATTTGGGCCAAACATGGCTGGTTAGAATCTTAAAAAGGAGAAGAATCTAATGTGGTAGATAAGATCTTGATGTCATTTTTAAAAACTCAAAAAAGAAATTACTTTTCATTTAAAGAGAATCTGCTTCCTGCTTAAGTGGCTAATATTTTAATTAAGTCGGGAGTGAAGTTTTCTGAGTGCCTCCTGATAAACTCCCTCTTTTATGTTGATGGTAATTAAACAGATCCCTGAGGACACTGTGGGCTCTGTGCAAGGCCCGTGCTAATTGTCAGACATGAGACACTGACCAGTTGGTTTGCTCTTGAATAGTCCACAGCATGCTGTCAGCGCGGCAGTTTTATTTTTATGTATTGTGAGCTGTTGTCAGGGCTAACTGGGTGCCATTGTGGCTGAAGATGTTGCACAAATTGAGGCAGATGGCTCAGATTCAGACACGTGTCATCCAAAGAGGGGAAAGGGGATTGGCCCTGCAAAGTGGGGTCACAGCAGGTCACAGACCTGCTCCACACTTGTTAGTGTTTTCAAAAGCTCATGTGCAGCAACTTTGTTTTTCTCCACTCATCCCTACAATCAGACTCCCTCCCCCCAAAATGTTCAGAACATGGTCCATGAGGGAGAGATGGAGGCATAGAAGGGGGTGCCAGTCTCCCTCCCAGCCTTGAGCCCCACTGTGCATGCAGAATGAAGTAGCAGGATTGACAGAAGTTCATTGTGCCTCCGGCAGCTTTTCAGTCGATTGCAATGTTAAAAGGCTAGTTTTGCTTTTAATTCCATGTAATTAGTAGGTTCTTCGTGTCTTGGAATTTAGTAATAGCACATTAGACCTCAACTTTCCTCTGTTGTATCCTAAAGCAAAAAGAAGGATCTAATGTTCTGAATATTAAATGGGGGTATTGGGTAGCACTTGGCTGTCATGTGACTTTGTCTCATGTCACCATTAACAGTACAGATTGAATCTAAGTATTTTTTACGTGAGTGACTTCACTGAAATGTAGGAAAAATTTTATTATGTACATAAAATTATCTAACTTCTTGCATAATCATTTTCAGATATGAGGAATTAAAATTCCAAGCTCTTTGAGAAAGGTACCTTTTCTTAATGTATTTTAAAAATAAAAATGTGGCAGCATATTTAAAACAGCTTGATAAATGTTAACTGTCAAGTGAATGTGTGTTTTTCTAAGTATGTCATAAGGAGACTGCCCTCATGGGTCTGCCATTCAAACCAATAAGTGAAATAGGCTTCCTTTTCTTGTTCTGTTTGTAAAATACACTAAAGTGGCCTGCATGTGGTAAGCATGGGCTGGACAGTTTGGTGATTTTTCTGAAGGATGCTTGACTTTAGGTGTGGAGCAGTAGGGAACCTTCAATCAAATATTTCATTTAAGAAACAGAGTTACTTTAAACCTATTTGGACATATGTTCTCTCCTCTTTTTCCCTCTCAGGATAAAAGGTCTCTCTTTTTTTTTTTTTTCTTGCAGGTTTGCAGCTAAAACTGTGCACAGTGGGTCATTGATGCTAGTCACAGTGGAACTGAAAGAAGGCTCCACAGCCCAACTTATCATAAACACTGAGAAAACCCTGATTGGTTCTGTTCTGCTGCGGGAGCTGAAGCCTGTCCTGTCCCAGGGGTAACCTGCTTACATCTGGGCTTCAGGATCTGGCACACAACAAAAGTGCCTGGCACCCACTACTGCTGCCTTTCATTTATAATAATAGCCCTTCCATCTGGCAGCGGGGAAGAGCACACTCTTGACATTCTTGTCTCTGCTTTAGAATGCTGGTGTGTATCTATCGTGTATGCAATCCTTTCTTCTCTTCGCTTTGCTAACCAAAGAACATATATTTTACTGTCAGTTTTCTCAACTCCTGAATCCATGCAGCATTTTCTCCGCCCTCAGACTTCTTTTGGCCTCATCTTCCTTCTGGTTTTTGAAAATGATGGACGTGAATCAGACACTGAAAGTTCATGGAGAATCATCCTTCCTTCAAGCAGTAAGCAAAAATTAGCAAGGAAATCATCTAAACGTCCTCTCAGCTTGGTATATGAAAAGGAGAGAGCATGCTTTTTTTTTTTTTAATTAAATGCAAAAAAAAATGATCTCTGCCAAATTCCATTCTTTGAATTTCCTCATATTGTAATTAGTTATTGACAATTGTCATCATGAAGTTACTCCCGAATAATAAGATAAATAAACTAACATTTGCCTCTCCTGACCCTCACTGGCTGAACTTCTTTATTCCCAGGTATTTCCGGCCACACTGTGAAGACTCACAGGGCTTAGTTAATGAAAGAGACTGCTCCCAACAAGGTGACGTGTCTTGTTGGATTTGCTCTTCTCTTTCCTTCTTTGAGATGGATTTCACTGAGCAGCCTGCTCTGGCCTTACACTTGGAACCCTCTGCTCCTGAGTGCAGGAATGACTGGCATGCATTGGCACTGAACTCTCTAAACTGGATACCTTTACTAACTGTGCGACAGAGTGGTTAAAAGGTGCTTAGTAACAAAGCAAAAGCCTTGTGTGTAAAGTGAAGCTTCTCTTTCTGTGCAGTCTTAGAGATCTGATTACCATGTCTGCTACACCTGCTAAATAAACCCTGACTTTCATTTTCCCTTTAAAAGTCTTGGTGCCCAACTCTTATCAAATCTAACTAGTACATAATTGACTATGTGCTATTAAAACTGTATG